GAGGGGGGGGGGGCGTGTTGTTGGTTGAACAAGGGAAATCCTTGAAGCAAAAATAGGGCCGTGAGGGGGCTGGCGGGAAATTCTGTCACGAGCCTTGTTAATCGTGCATATTCACTGAATTGCTTTTTATCTTGGCGAATCAAATTAAATCATTATTAATTGTTTCATTTTCAAATCATGTCTGTGGTGTTCCGTAATGCCCCCGTCGCTTGCCGATACTAACCAAGACTTGTGGCTTCAACTCGGCCGAAACCCAAGGCCCAGCCAGGCAGGAACAAGCCAACACATTCCCTCCTTCCCTCCCCAAATACGTTCATCATCTCGCTTACGGCCTGTGAGGGATTATCCCTCCCGCTCCGCATTTCCACATGTCAGAACACACATGTCCACCCAGCCCCATCCCATCGACGTCGATATATACATAGATAGAATAGAGTTTGAGCCCGCATCATCTTCTTCGACGAAAGGAACGGCAACACGCCCCCTCCCCCTCTCCCCCGGCCTCTCGAAGCCCCCCCACAAAGCCGGTTTTCTATATATCTCGGGCACCTCCCTCGGGCTCCATTCCGGCGAACATCGAGAAACAGATGCATCTAGGTCCTCCTTGGCAAGTCATGAGAGGTGAGGCTGGGCCATGAATCCTTTCCCCTCTCCCCCGGTCTGGCTCTCGATTAACTTTTGGCTATTCTCATTTGTGACGCGACGCTACTGGGTAGCGAACTCCGTCCCAATCGGCCGGTTCGCCGATGAAGAGCCGGTAAACCTTAACGACGAAAACAGAGATTGGAGGAAGCCATCCGCGTCTGCAACCTCTTTATTCTTGTGTCTTAGCTTCTTGGATCTCCCTTTCGTCCGCCCACGTCGTCCACCCGGATCCGCGTCTTGCCGAGAGAGTGGACATCCATATCCCCATGAACACACCATATCGACTAGAATATGACCGCAGCCCGGGCGGGGCGGCGGTTGGGAGGGGTGAGATTACCCACGAGGACCAGACCTTTTCTTCGTCGTATTCTCTTATTCTGTCACATCAGATGTACCCTTCGCGCCCCTCTGACTAACCCGAGACTGACAAGATCTAGATCATGTACATGGTGTTTCCAAGGCTCTGGATGCGCAAACGCACAAACGGCTCTTTGTGGAGCATTATCGTCTCAGCTTCGGTTCCGTCTCTGTATCGGTGACTGGTAATATATATCTCACAGGATGTGAAAGTTCACTTCGGATAACTTGCCTAGTTCTTCATGTCGACATCATAACCTGGTCCTTGATGGTAGACGCCCACTCGCTTCGCTCGTCGATGCACGCCCCTAGACCACGGTCATGAGAATCGAGCATGGCCATGGAAATCAGGTGTGTGAAGTATGCAAATCTCTCTTTTTCACACTATTGACTAGAAGACTCCGCAAGACTGCTACATGAGCCTGGCGCGTGGACAACGAACTTAGTTGGTCTCGGGTTTGGCAACTCCCCAAGCCAGGGTCTTGGCCACGCACAAGTTTTCTCATGCTTTTCGTGCATCCTTGTAACTGTGGCAACTGTCGATTTGCTGTCATAATCATAGCCTTGTCGTCTGTAGCGTACAGGTTTCCCAATCGAGACAATCCGGGAATATTATCACAGATGCGAGAATGCGAGTCGGCCCTTTTTTGATCGAGTTGTCAACGGTCATTAAGAAGCTCGTAAGATTGGGCATCGGAGCGCCAAGATCGTAGCTCCCATTCTCGGGAGAAGTTGGAATCTTTGCGCAGGGGATGCATCAGTATGCGACCTGGTAAAAACACGACCGCTGGGTTTGCCGTGTAAGTTGAGCACATACATACATAGACAATGGACACTTACGGTGTCCGCATGTACAGTGATCCTGCACATTCTACACCGTACCTTCAGATGTGTTGGTCGGGCAGGTCAGTTAGTTCTGTAAGCCTTTTCCCCGTCTCAGCAAACAAAATCATGATAGCCCCAGCTACCATCGGGTCCTAATTTCGTGGACAGCGGCGGCGGGCCCGAGGAACGCCGACAAGCACGACCCACCACCGCTCGGGCGGTCCCCTTTCAACTCGGCCGACGCCGAGCCCGCCGAATGGGCGGCAAAGAACCTGCGCGGCGAACTCGCCAAGCACACTGTCACGGGCTGCTTTTGCCAAGCTTTAACGAGGGGCTGACCGCTTCTCGCGAGAAACATATTGTTGGGTAAATCCTTCAAGCTTTACATGATTCAGCAAACTTCTGGCTCTTCCAAGGCTGAACACGGCGGGCGGGCCGGGCAAAGTGACAATCGGCCTTGGGAGAGTAGTCGTTTCCCACCAGGAATCCTCCGGTGAGGTGACGTTGTTACGCCTGAACGACCCGTCCCTCTCTTCCCCGCCGATCCGCCCGCCTGGGCCCACGCTTGGCCCGACCACCACTTCACCATACGGGTGCCGGACAGGCCCACGTTTTTTAAGAATGGGAATGCATAATGTTTCCAACGCAGTCACGAGTTCAACACCATCCGTCACTCGCATAAGTGAAAAGGGAAAAGTTCAAGGCAAAGCTTGTTGAAGGGTCATGAATGGGGCATAAAGATATTCGTTATGAGGAAACGTAAAAAAAAAACAAGATATAAGAGGCTCTTTCCAATGTATTAGCCAAAAAAGATGGCGTAGATTTGCTCCCAACAAGTAGAGGAAGAAAGACAACCGAGAGCCACAAGATAGAACTCCAAGCTCAGGCAAAAGTCCATCGCAGTCAGCTTTAGCGCGCCGTACCAGGTAGCAACTCGCACTGGTGAAGGAGATGTTATCTCAATAATAATAGCAAAATCTCCAGCAATGTCGAGAGTAACCTTTTTGTCGATTTCCCTAGCGCTACTCCATAGATGACAAGAAAGTGTAGATGAAACTGAAATAAAACGCCCATGCAAAGTGCTTTTGTCAAACCCGACAGCCTCTACATCTGTGTGACCACGAGGAGGCTGTGCGATAGGTAGCCTGGTGTGATGACCAGGTATAATGACGGGTAAACATAGCCGGGATCTGCCTGAGAAGCATGGTATTGTAGCGCTCGCAAGGAAAACTGGTAACGAGAAAAAGTTCGTCGCAGGATAATTCGTGGGCTTCGTCCTGTTCTGGCCGCTTGCATAAATTGAAAGGCAATGAGTCGTACAGTCCCCCGAATTCTTGTACGTACACAAGTCGAAACGATCACAGCCCCCCTAGTGCATGGCAGTTCTACTACCATTCTCCACTACCTGTGGTATCATGTTTCGACCGTCGTTGGTAACATAGTTGTAGCCAGCGGTCTGCGCGACGTTGCCTTGTGACATCTCATCCGGTCGAAACATGCCTGGTTGACTACCGTTGTAGCCCGGACGAGGCGCGTCCTCGAATGACGCCGTTATAAAGGACTGGTTTGGATCCATGGCCACACCCGGCGACACAAATGGCCCCGCTTCCAGGTTCGGTTGCTGTGATGCGTAGGCATACATGGGCGATCCGTTAGTTCCATTGGAGCTGGTCTGCCATTGTTGCGAGTACATGGTACCGCCGGGGCTGGGAAATTCGCTAAAGACAGATGGTCTGCGGCTGACATCGTGCGGGCTCGGTACAAGCTCTAAAGTCAGGCTAGAACCAGTAGAAACACCGGCTTGGCCATGAACTTGCATAGGGCCGTTGTCAACATAACTGTGCTGTGGGGTAATGTCGTTCATCATTGGCGGCTGGAATTGCGAGCCACGCATCGGTAGGTCGCCGATAAAAGCGTCTCCAGGTCCCGATAAGCCAGACAAGGTAGCTGCGTCTGTGCGCACTGACGGACGCATTGCACTACTAATTGCCGTGGGTGGCTTTGCTGTAGGTTCGATATCCTCATCCTCCTTGATGAAAGACCCCGTCTCGTCGTTCTCAGACACGTAGTTTTCCGGGACCTTATCCTCGGACATGACGTAGATCTCAGTCGAGCCGTCGATTTCGCCCAGCTTGTACCGTTCCTCCTGTCGAGCGACTTTGAAAATTTCGGTCAAAAACGGCTTCTTGCGCGCGTTGGCATCATTGTCCATGAAAAATGACGAAAGAGCTTCCGCGGTGATTTCCTCCAGCTTGGACACATTCAGTCCAAGCTTTCGAATGTCGGGGTGCTGTTTACCATTAGGCTCTAAAACGATTCGAAGGATATGTGCAAGTAGATGAACACGTTCTAGCCGAGTTAGCAAAACACACACCTGTAGCCAATTCGAGGAACGGCCTACCTCGTTTATACAAGTGATCCGGTTCTTTATGGCGAACTTTGTCGTCTTTGGTTGGGCCCCATGGCTTGGGCCACCAGTCAGGCGCTTTTTCGTCGCTTCCCGTGTAAGGGTGAGTCGATTGTTTCTTGGGTTCGACGGCCTTAACCCAGGCTTTCGCGATGAGCTTGCAAGCTGTCTGCTGGCAGTTTTTGAACCGCTGCTCATAGAACCCCCAAACAGCGCCCGAGTCACCAATCCTGATACCGCGCCGTGAAGATACAGTCATCTGTGTGTCCTCATCCTCATTCAAAGGGTTCCGAGGTCTGGGTCGTTTGCGGCCAGAGCGAGCTGGGCTGCCCCAGTCGGCCAAAGCTGAGCTTCTCCGACGATCTCCTGGCCGGCTTCGACTAAAGACGTGACGATTAAAAACGGGCTCATCTTGGTTGAATGAGTCGTCTAGCATGAGGTCGGCACCTAGTATGCGGTCAGTGGTGGTTTTGGCAACGCAAGGTAACGGGTAACCTGCCAGTTTCTAATCTGCTCATCACTTGCTGGAATTTCCCAGCGTCGAAGAATTGTGCAATGACATTACCAGGCAGTTTCTGGCCACCGCTCACAAAGGTGCATGGCGTCCCGTCGTCCGCTGCAGCTGCAACAAAGTACCGCCTCACGGGCACTCCGAGTTGTCTCTGGAGTACTTCATCAATATCCTGTTGAAGTTGTGTCAGCAGTGCAGACATGGAAAGGAACACAAAATGGCGACTAACAGATGGCTGATTGCGACGGGTAGGGTCGCTAGCATCCCCAAAGCGACCATTTTGATTGCTTGTTTGGTATCGATCTTGGTGAAAGCCGCTTGGTGCCTGTATTCCATGGTTGTACCGATCGGCAGAGAAGGAACCGTGTCGTTCCGGTTGCTGTCCTTGTGAGAAGCATGAGTGAGAAAATGATTGGTGACGCGGGAACGACTCCCGAGGCCAGTCTTGAACCATGGCGAAGCCGGATTCTCGTTAACAGGAAATCGTGTTGTGTTTGGAGTCGTGCGGATCGTCAAAGAATGGATGGGGTGTAGCAATTATATCCGTCGGTATAGCCGTAGGGGACGGCTACTGCATATCGAGGCTCAAACTCGGCCTGGTGGCAGGTGGCAGTCGATAAGGTCGCAGGCTGAACGGGTACCAGCAGTGACTGTCGCAAACTGAACGAGCCAAAGCAGCGTGATGGTGAACTACCAGTGTTGCGAATGGCAGAAGAGGCCGGAGGTAGACCTGTGTATCTTGACCCCGGGGTCAGCACGATGATGAATAGGACAGTTGATGCCAACGCTAATAGCATGCGAAAGGATAGAGGGACGAGCAGTGTTTCTGTGCGAGAGAATAACAGAGGTGTAGGCAGTTGGTGTGAGAGGCAAACGAGTCATAGATATAGTGTCGAGTTGGAATGGGGGGGAATGGGAGAGGCAAGTCTTTGACGGCGAGACAGGGCAAGCTAGAGACTGTCGAGGTCGCACTTGTACAGAGGCCGGCGCAGGCGCACAAGCAGAGATACCAGCGGAGAGAGTCACACAGCAGCGCGGTGTGGTGGTACTGGTACGCTGGCCTGGGTACCAGCAGCGAGATGTCTCGCCTTGGTGCAGCGCGGCGCGGCAGAGGGACCTGCTGGTGAAGCAGGTCGGCTCTGAGGAGGAGGGGGGTGGGTGAGGGAGGGGGGCGTGCGGACGTTGAGAGGTGGTAGGGAGTAGCGTAAACGAAGGACTGGTAGTGCCTACCTTGGGAGAGGGCGATTACGGTGTCTCTTGTAAGTCAAGAGTGAGTTGCCGCGAGGCAGGAGAGCGGGAGAGCGGGAGAGACGCGAGGGGAAGACGAGCTGGGTTTTCGGGTCGATGGCAGACGCGGCAGAGAGGTGAATGTGGCAGTCGAAGTGTACTCGGGCGGTGACCTAGGGATATAGGCTATGACGAGAGAGGGATGCGGCGGAGCCAATATATGCTGATTGAGCCGGATTTACTTCGTACAGATCAGAAGAGATCAGAGGGCCAAAAAGGTGCAGATTGGACAGGGAAGGTGGTGAGGGTCGTGGTGGCGGAACGGTGTTGAGGTGGCCGAGGACGGCAGTGAGGCGGAGGCGATTGGTAGCCCGCGATAGGCAGGTAGCAAGAGCAAAAGGCGGTAGGGAGAATGACTGTTGAGGTAGAGGGTGAAATAGTCAATGAAGAGGAAGGCCGCCGAGCAGACGAAGGAGTCTGAGAGAAGTACGAATAGAGAGTCGGATGGTGGCTGATCGGGAGAGAGTGCGGCGCGGAGCCAAAACCGTGACAAGATGGGCGGTAGGACGACTGCATAAATGGTGGGAGCATGCGCAGGCAAGGGAGGCAGTCGCAGAGAGAGCCGCAAGAGAGATGAGAGATACCAGTAAGAGAACAGGGAATATCCGTCTGTACAACCGATCCCGTGGCAGCGTGAGCCGGGGGGGGGGGCGTCGGCGGTGGACTGGGTGAGAAGGAAGTGCTTGCTGAGTGATGATTGAAGAGAGGGCTGCGGAGCTCAGGATGCGATGCAACGAGGCCGGGCAACAAGAGGCCAGGGCAGGCAAGGTGAGACCGACCAGAGAGTAAGAGTATGGCAGCCCGAGTAGGGCAGCAGCGGGAGGGGGGCAGCGGCGTGCAGGAGTTGTCGTGGGAGAAGTAATCGGAGTGCTACTACCAATGCAGTAAGTCGCAGTACCTAGAAGTCGGTAGCAGCACCAGCCTAGCAGCGACAACAAGAGTAGCGAGAGTGCTGTGGTCACTCGTGGCCGGGAAAGTGTAGGTTGTTAGGTCTGTCTGGCACTTGGTGGAGAAGGTACAGGACAGGACAGGGACAAGATACGGCTGACGGCGCGAACGGAACGGAGCACGGTCGGGAGAATATGTACCCAGTCTGTCTGTCCTGCCATCTCGTTAGCCAGCGAGCCAAGCAAAGACTAGCCTGGTGGTGAAAAGAAACCAAGTGGGCAACGGGTACGGGACGGATGGGATAAGTTAGAAGCTAGCGTCCAGTCGTTCAATCAACGCCTAGTGCGATGGGGGGGCTCTAGTTTTGCGTTGTATTTTATTTTTAATAAGCAGTATTTTTCCCAACGGACTGGGAAGGGGGGGCAAGTGAGAGGATAGGATAGGGTACTGGTAGAGAGGGGGCGTGGGGGTTGGCCAGTTATAGTTGCCTACCTTGCCTTGTCTGGCTACCTTGCGGTCGCACTTGGTGATGGAGTGGTGGTGATGTTGGTGGTGGTGGCAGTCGAGGTATAGTCCCACGGCTCCACGGAGACAGACTCCACGAGACGACAGAAGATGGGCGGCGGGTGAGGGAGCGAGCCAGCGAGATAGATTAGAACCAAGAGAGAAGGAAAGCGAGCGACAGCGACGAGACTGGCCAGGGGTCGATTCGACTAGCTCCAACAGGCGTCGAGGATGAAGCTGCGCGGCGTTGGGGCGTTGATGGGATACAGGGATCAGCCGACCCTGTCTCGAGGCTGGGGGACATACGAATAACGAGCTTGCCCAGGTAGTTTGCGTCGGCGTCGGGGAGGAGGAGGATGGTAACCTGGTTACCTCAGTCAGGGCACACGGCACATCATGGCCCAGCTCAAGCTCGTTTCTGCGGTGTTTGCTGGTGGTGTGTGGAAGAGGGGAGAGGGAGGGAGGGGAGGAATGGGCGGACGGGACGGGGGGCGTGCGGCTAAGGTGGACGGATGAGTGGGTGGGTGGACGGATGGATGGATGGAGGGTGGCACCTTGTTTTTTTCCCTTTTGACGATTTCGCTTTCTGAGGGGCAAGTCTGGTCGGGGCCTTGTCGTGCAGCCCGGGGAGGGAGTGTGGAAGATGCAAAAGACAAGAAGCGAAAGGGAAGAAAAAGAAAGAAAGAGTGTGTGTGGCTGGTGGTGAGGCGTGCAGGTGTACTTAGTAGTGCGGCTTGCAGCACCTTGCAGACTGCAGGTCGTTGTCTGCGGAGAGAGAGAGAGTACAGAGGTAGACAGATGGTACATCGGACCCATGCACGTCCGCCTGCTGTTGGAAAGTACCCCCTGTTCTACTTTTTCCCCTACCCAACGTGCCCAGCATCCGTCCATACCTATTCGCTTGTAACACAAGTACGGACGCAAGACTCACTAGTTAACTAGTTGGGTAGTCAAGGGCACTGTAAATATATAATTCTCCCAGCTGTTTGATTCGTCCTGGTTACTGTTTGGTTCGAAATACGTCTATTGTTTGCTGGGTTGTCGCGAGACAAACTTGCTCCTAGGCGCCAAGATTGGACATGCCCAAATTCAGGCAGATAAATATTTTTTTTGTTTTGCCTTGTTGAAAACCAGTACAGCACGTTGGCACCCTCATGTCGGAAGCCCTGCAAGGCCAGCCAATCACTGCCTGGCCTCTTGAGCCGTGTCGGTCATCTTGCGTCCACTATCGAGCATGTCTTCCGTTATTGAGATATCAATCATTAATTCATTGCAGCCCATGATAATAATATCAACAGAATTTTGATAATTACGAGAGGACCGAGTAATCAATCGCCAATCTGGTCGCCACAGCATGATGCTCCTTACCCTTACCGTTACAAGCACGTCGCGCCATTTCGCTTCATCCCTGCAGCCGTTCCAGCACAGATCGACCGCATGGCATTTTCAAATCAAACCAGAGGCCTATTTTACTCAGCCCTTGTCATTACGTTCCTACTTTCTAGCTTTCATTGGACCCATTGGCAGATGGGCAGATAGACGTCGCTCGAGCCTGGTGTCATTCCCATCAATCCAGGCATGCAGAGGCCTCTCAATGGTCCGGGCATGGTACATGTCTCTCCCGGCATCGTAGCTCCTTGCCGGTGGCTAACCTCCGCAATACCTAGTTTCCTTGTCTTATTGGCTCTTGCCAGCAATTATAGACTAGGTATCCGTAGACACCTTAGCTATGATTCTCGCATTACCGTCTCGTTTCGCAACGCTCTCTCCATGATTTGGAATAATGGCATGAACACTCGGTGGTATGCGCATTGACAAGGCTTCGTCTTGCAACCGGTCACCTTGTACCTATCGCAAACTTCATCACTGTTGTAACAGCTACCAAGACAAATCTCGACGCCATGCCGTGAGCTTAGCTTGACCTTACCTGCCAAGCAGGCCCAATGACCTCGTCTTGTAGCTAAACTGGTGAAGTTACGCCAGCCTCGAGGTAGCCTTCATTCATACATGAAAGTTTATGTCTAGGGCCAGGTCACTCTCATCTGTCCATATCCTCGAGAGCATGAGGGCGCGATCCTGCGAGTGTCGATCACTAGCCATCTAGATACACTGGCTATCGCGGACTGGTAGATGGCATGACAGGTGCAAGCCTCGTCTACTAGCGGATGAACTGAGACTTGTCGGTACATCGTAGTCATCGTGGCGTTTTGGTTAGCAGGCTGCATCGCAGCTTGATAGGTGTTGTCTGGCGATCGTGCTCTGGTACGGTTAGTGAGCGCCGTTAGCGCACTGCTTGGTGTATTGCCGACCTGCACGCCAGTAGCTGGATGGTCACCTCGTTTAACATCTTTTAGGCAAGCAAATAACTGAACGGAAAGATAGACTTTGCAGCTGTCCAGAATACCGTTGAAGAGATACATATATTCTCGACCCATCAGAAGTACCATATGGATATAGTGGCGCCGCAATGGTCGCCCACGTAAAGTGCTCAGTAAGAGCCAGGTCAGGCGCAAACCTATAAAA